TCATCATCATGTTGCACCATATCATCATATGTCATCATTATGTTGCACCATGTCATCATATGTCATCATCATGTTGCACCATGTCATCATGTGTCATCATCATGTTGCACCATGTCATCATGTGTCATCATCATGTTGCATCATGTTATTATGCATTATCATCATGTTGCATCATGATGTTGCATCATGATGAAATGACCAGATAATAAAATTTGGCTTGATGGCTCCTTATTTTCCCATTTTTTTCTTGTTGTTCTTACTAGGTCTTCTGGAATGTTGGTAGTCAAATGGTGTCACTAAATTTCCAAACACCAGGTTAGAGCATGGATCATTAATCCTTTATCTTCCATTATTTGAGAAAAGTAAAATCATCTATATTTCTTACTGAAATGGGATGCCTAAGGTAATTCTATGTTTTTCTTTGTAGATTTGGCTTTTCAGTTAAATGAGGGAAAGTTTGARCTGAATGGTAGATCTGGGTATGTTACATTTATATTTTCATTCACATGCTATGCTATGGTATACATTATTATTATAAGAGTAACAATTGTGGGAAAAGTAACAACAAAGATCACCTGGTCGAAGAACATTATTTTGCTGTATTAATGGAAACCATATTTTACACATAGGTTTATTTTGAAGCCAGATCTGATGAGAAGACAAGATAGAGCATTTGATCCATTCACAGAGTCAGTGATTGATGGCTGTGTGGCTGCATATGTTGCTGTTAAGGTAAGAGATGCTGTTTAGATAACAAATGAAGAAAGGATGATGTGGGGGTGGAAAATGGCATTATCAGAGAAACAGAAAATGAGCAAGTGTGCAAAACGAGAATTGGCAGAACACAAGAGAAGTGTTAGGAGAAGCATGACACATACTAGTAGGAATCTCCCAGAAAGTGAGATTTATGACAGTTATGAAGAAAAATAGACCAAATCGGCTCTGACGTAATGATGTCCCATTTCAGACCACGTGTCATTCCCTAGAGTATCACTTCTTTGTTTTAAGGTTGCACATGAGAAGACACATGGGTATGGATGCAACTCAAACAAAGAATCTTATTCTCAAGGGAATAACACTTTATCTGAAATGGGACAATGTTACTCTCAAACGCTTGAGAGCCAAGGAGGTCTATTATAAAATCCTCAAAATGATATATGGAAAGATTGAGACAAACCAGCAACAGTTTTTGTCAATATATCTGTCCAGCATTAATATTGTTTTCACATGATCATTTTATTATTTGTTCATGCTTATATATTCTACTAGGTCATCTCTGGCCAGTTTCTGTCAGATAAGAAGATCAGTACACTAGTAGAAGTGGACATGTATGGCCTTCCTACTGATACCCTGAGAAAGAAATACAAAACTAAAATAGCTACGAGTAAAGGACTGAACACTGTCTATGAAGAGGAAGAATTTGTCTTCAAAAGGGTATGATAATTAGTATAGGAAATTGCACAATCTTGAGTACAATTCGGAATTTATAGGTATGAGTGATGTTTTGAAAGTTTTCAAAATTGGACGAGCCTTTTAGGTGACTCCAATTTGAGAACTTTCAAAACATCACAAGTATCTATAAATTCCAAATTGTACAAGATCATTGTGCAATTTTTTGTCTATAATACACTCAACAAAATTGAGGAATTTAATTGGGACTCTACAGAGTACAATTTGGGATTTAATTGTACTCCTCTTGTCCAATCAGAATCAAGTAATTTTGTTGAGTGGGTGTATTAGTATTTTTATATGTAGCTAATTTGTTTTATAGTTGATGTGATATCTTTACCGATTTTATCAACTCAATAAAATGTAGATGTAGATGTATTATATTGATAATTATTTGTATGTAGTTGATATAAAGCATATTTATTTAATCTTTGGCAATTTTGAGTTATTTGTGAGGGGATGAAGATCCTGCACAAATGTTCCTTGGTTCAAATTTCATCAGTTATGCAAACAAAACCAATGATCATTACACTGCTATCTTTCTGCAATGCAGAAAAGCCATGAAAATGATTTTCTTGTACTAGTTTAAGTATGTCCCTGTCTTTTTATCTGTTCTTTAGGTTGTTCTGCCAGAACTGGCTTTGCTAAGATTTGGTGTTGTGGACGACAATGACAAACTCCTTGCACAAAGAATAGTACCTCTCAGTGCATTACAGGCTGGTAGGTACATTATAGAACATGTATTTGCAGTTTTCGGGACCTTATTTGTTTTTAATGACAGACTGTATTTTCCTACAGGCTATAGACATGTACCCCTCAGGACASAGAGTTGTGTCTCTATTCCTCTTGGTACCTTGTTCATTCATCTTACTCTTAAGAGCTACGTACCAGAGGGCTATGGAGGTAGGTAGTTATGTGCGTATATATTCAAGGATTAGATGGAGGCTGCTCTACATGAACCTCTTCCAAAAATCTTATTTCCTACCAATGGCGCTAGATAATTCCTGGGAGTAACCTAGTCATCTCTTCTGTGCATTTGATCTTAATCTAACATGTTAATTTAAGCATTATGAATAATAAATATTATTACTTCTAATTTTCCCAATACTTATTCCATCTATCCATCCACCGATCTATCCATTCTTCGTTCATTTGTTCATTCCATTTAATCATTCATCCATCTAATCATTTATCCCTCTATATCCATGTGTTGAACCATCAATCTTTCATCAATCTTATTCCATCTATTATTTTGTTTATTCTATTCTTATCATTCCTTCCATTTACTCATTTATTTTGTTCCTTCACTGCTGTAATTAACTGACCATAATTTTGTTATGCTTTCACAGCAATTGTCAATGAGTTGTCAGAACCAATCAAATACCAGTCTGCAGCAGAAAAGCGTGCCTCACAAATGGTTGTCTTTGATATGGATGAGCCGGTAAGCATTCCATAATAATTCTAACATTTAAGAAAAACAAAAACATCAGAGTTTATTGCATATCACGACTGTAAGTACGGCAGTCGCACAGGTCAATGGGGTAGAACTGAAAGCAATGAGAAGGTGCCATCCACTATACAGTTCTTGTATGACCCTGAAGCACAGGTCTAACCAGTTCGTACTAGTTAGGGTTGATTAAAGAGGAGGAAAGGATTAAAACTGACGCATCACTCAAATCAAGAAATATTTTACCAATCAACTATTTACTTTATGCAGAACCAGTACTGAATATATTGTCAAAGGGTTCATTTGCACTTTAAACCACAGAGGTTAAAGGCGAGTGTTTTACCACCATGCTATTCTTTGTTTGCACGTTACATCATCGCAGCCATGTTGGTACAATTTAACAAAAGATTTCTCATTAACATCCATTGTTAACGGCACAACAATGGCCGCCCTGTTTTTGTCTTTAAACTCTCTTGGGAATGCTTGCAACCCATCAATTCACATTCTCCAAAAAAGATTTCAAGTTCTTAACTATAATAGCTTTTTATTTTCTCATTCTATAGGATGATGGTGATTTGCCTTCTTTCATCAAGAAGAGCAGTTCTGAGACTACCCTTACCAAGATGAAGTCTAACTCATTATCACTGACTTCGCTGACCAGTTCATCATCAGGCACACCATCTCAGTTCAACTCAAGACCAAGAGAATCCATTGTGACACTTAGTTATATGGGCTCCAGAACAGGATCAGAGCTGACCTTGATGGAAAGCAATGTTCCTAAGAAACGTAAGTACTTTCATCTTTCATCTCCATGGAAAACCTTACAGATTGAACTATGTGACTGAAAATTTACTCCTTGTTATGTTTATAGTTGATATGAAGTATGCTGCCATTAGTCTGGAAGAACTCAAAAAAGATAAGGTTTGAAGTGTAATTCTATAGGGAAGTGTAACCAATTTGGCAATCAAGGGTGATGTAGTTACTGTGCACGTTTTGAAAGGAACTTTTCTTGAAGATTTTTTCCCAGCATCTTTTCCTTTGCAAAAGTCAAATGCACTGATGATCAGTATCACACTGGTCCTCCAGGTTGGGGGCTGGTCTGTGGGGTAATCACCTGCACCCGGAAAACGTTGCTGATTACGGAAAACAAAACATTAAGGGCCYATGTTCCCAAAGGACAAAGAGGACTAAGTTATAAGTATCCACCTAATAGTGAAAATATTATTTCGAATCTATTTATAACCACAATTGTTGTGCAAGATTAAGACTACTCCTAACAAGGCCAATTCTTTAGACTTACAGAAAAGTATTGAAAAGACAACAGAAAGAAGTCGAAACCTACCAGAAAAAGCACAACAAGGTAAGATACACTGTCGCTGTCGGGCTGCCTGTGTCTTAATATTTTCTTGAGTGTTTTTTGAAAACGACATATACTTCTATAGAGTGGCTACGCGTCAATGCGTGCTACGCGTCTACACGTGCTACGCATCAAATTGAACRTGCGGGCTGCCTGTGTCTCAATGTTGATGCGTAGCCACACTAATCAGATAAATTTGAAATGCAGGGTATTCGATAGTTGTACCGGATAGTACCAGCTTTGTCACAGTGGAGAACAATGTGCACAACAGGGGCGTAGCAAGGACCTAGGAGCTGGCGGGGCACTGACCCCCCCCCCAAAATTACTCCTCCCCCCATAAAACGAATAAACGAATAAACACGCAAACAAAAAAGAAACAAATTCGTATTGGTATAAACTGATTTATACAGCGCACTTTCCTAGGTTGCAATAATCTATTTTCCTCTTTCGTTTTGGTTTAATATTTTTTGTTTTTTGTTTTTTTGTTATTTGTTTTTTTCGAAAAAGTTGTTTAAAAATTTGGGGGGGCACGTGCCCCCCGTGCACCCCCTCGCTACGCTACTGGTGCACAAGCTTTGACACACTGCTCGGTTAAAGTTACAGCTTTTCTCTGAACTTCATACTTGTTTGAATTTTTCACCAGGAGAGAGTCGCAATGCAAAAGACACACACTTAYGAATTAGAGCAACTTATAAGCAGTTTTGAAGACAGTAAGCAAGCAGCATACAAGACCTTTGAAAGAAATGCAAGGCACTGTGGGTGAGTACCTTTATTTTTYGAGTAAAACAATTGAAGGAAGCAGGGGTGATGTACATTGCCTCTTTCCGCTGTAGCCATTGGTCCATTTCTATGACCACGCACCTTGTTATTTGCATTCAGTGTTATTCAAGATTTATTTCTGAATCAGCAATGTACATGCATTGCCTACCCTAGAGCAATACCCTGTTGTCATGGCTGCCATGACTAAAGCCTCAAAATCGATTTCAATTTATAAAATTACTTTTTTTAACATTGACTCAGTGATGCAAAGTCTGCAGCTCTTAAAGCTGTATACGACAAGAAGATTGCATACCAGAGCCACATTCAAAGGGAAGAGGTAAGAATTGAAAGCAATTTTTTTGCCTCGAAGAGCATATTAATGAGACCTGTATACTGGGAGACTGGTTTAATAAAATATTCTTACTTTTATAGGCAAACAAGATTTTATCATCTCAAACAGGAGAATGGACAAAAATGATTGATAAACAGATTAATGAGGAAATCGAAGTCTATGAGAAATATGCAGACATGGTAAGTTGCAAGTGTAGTTGTATGAACCATGTTGGGTGAGTTTGTTGTTTTGGTATGTAGTTGGGTGAGGTAGGTCCATGACTGTTAAGCTGCTGGTGAGTTTTGATGAGTTGTCAGTGAATTGTTGGTGAGTGATTGGTCAGGTGTCARWRRGTGGTTGATGAGGTGTTAGTGGCTAGTTGGTGAGGTGTCAGTGGGTGGTTGGTAAGGTGTCAGTGGGTGGTTGGTGAGGTGTCAGTGGGTGGTTGGTAAGGTGTCAGTGAGTGGTTGGTTAGGTGTCAGTGGGTGGTTTGTAAGGTGTCAGTGAATGGTTGGTAAGGTGTCATTGGGTTGTTGGTAGTGTCAGTGGGGTGTTGGTAAGGTGTCAGTGAGTGGTTGGTGAGGTGTCAGTGAGTAGTTTGTAAGGTGTCAGTGGGTGGTTGGTAAGGTGTCAGTGAGTGGTTGGTAAGGTGTCACTGGGTGGTTGGTGTTTTTAAAGGCGATGCAGCCATGATGGGGGACTAACTAATAAGCCTTTTTTGTTGGAATCTTAACCTGCAGTTAATAAATTCGCTAAAATCTGCAATGGATACAGTGCATGAAACTCAGATCAAAGAAGCTATTGTCAGACATGAGAGGTTTGTATATCTGTGGCTATGAAAAAATGCTCTGTGTTTTTTAGTGTTTTATATAGGAATGGCCCAACTGAAAATGCATGCACACTCTGTGTGCTCTCATAAAATACACACACCCAATTCAACCAATCAGAACATGAGATTTAATAACAGTTATTTTATAAACTTTGATTCATAATGAATGTGTGTGTTCATTTGAATACCAGAGAGAACAGTGAAATAAAGAAGAAGCAAACCAAGCAGTCTATGGAATCTGCAAAGATCCTAACCGCGAACAAAACACTGACCAAAGAAGAGAGGGACAGGTGGGTTTTTATTCAATGACGTTAATTTTCCCAAAAGTAAAAACTGTTAAAAACATATACATCAATAGTCTTTGTCATGTAAAAGAAAAGTACATTCTCCTGAAAATGAATTCTATAATTCTATAATTTGCTACTTAGAATTTCATTATTTCTTCACCAAACACTGCTTTTTTAAAGCCCCCAAACAGGCTTAAAACACAAATACAGGCTCTGGGAAAGACAATTAGGAAAAGCCAAAAACTTACATTCTAGTTGTTGTGGTCTGTTTACCATTTTCACCATAAAAAATGGCAGATCCCTAGATGAGTGGGAACCCTGTGTTATTTATTTTGAGTCCATACTTAGATTCCCAGATAATTGGGATTCCTATGGTGTTGTTATGAAGTGTAGTGTTGCTCCCTGGATGAGTGGGATTTCTGTGTTGGTGGAACCAGAAATTAATACCTAGATGGCTGGGATCTCTGTGGTGTTCTAAATTTGGTTGTTCACTASATTTATGGGATTCCTGTAGTTTTTTTAATTGGTTCCTGGTCTAAGAAGTTGTTATCCTAGATGATTGGGATCCCTGTATTGAATATTATGCACACATTATATTTGCAGAAGACAAAGAGAACTGGACCGGCAAAATTTAAAGAGGTTTTTTGATGAGCGGAAAAGGGTATGTCTATAATAATGCATCGTGACATTGCATGATGAAATGCTTGATAGGGAGGATATTTGAATATCATTTACTACTACTGCGATGGCTTGCACACAAGTTTTCTTATGGTAAATTAGCATATAGTTTTCCTCTTACCATGAAGTAGTCTCTTTTACAGCCTTTCTTAATGTCGGGAGGGAGTTTGAGACTGACACTAAGACAGAGACTAACCATGAAGCAAACAACTAATACAACTAATGAAAAAAAATTGTGAAGCATTCTGGTAGTAATAGTACATCATGACATCATGGAAACAGCCTTGGGCTTTCAAGTGAATGGTTAGATGATATGGTGATATTGATCCTTAAGACATTGTATTTATCCCTGTTGTTCCAGCTTGAAGACAGACAGGCAAAGGAAATAGAAGATTTGAAGAATAGACAAGAYGAAGAAAAACAAAATCTTGAACAATGCTTACGAAAGGTACCATTTAGTGAGATATAATATTACCATTATCAATATATGAGACCATGCATCATATTCATGTATTATCATCACCATTTATTATCAAGCGTAAAAACATATTATCATCATGCTTTCCCATTACCAGCATCAGCTCATATCATCATGCATCATTGCTCCCATCATGCATGTCATCATCATCATCATTATTACAGTGTACCACTATATACATCTTCATCACCACCATCATGCATCATCAGGCATCATTATCACCGCATCACCCATAGACTTAGGTCTTTCATACCTCAGGAACTGCAAGTGGTATTTCTCCTTGTTTTATAGGCAGATGAAGAGAGACTGGAAGAAATCAGAGACAAAGGAGAAAAATTGAGGAAAGCCATTCGTTCTCCATATCAGACACTTCTTCCAACGCACTGAAATAATGGAGAGGAAAGATTAAAAAAGGAGACAAAATTCAGCCATGATGAACGTTACCCTTTGACACTGTAAGATCTTCTGGATAATGCATGGTAGCTTGCAGAAATGATTCTCTAAAGTAGCCTATCAAACATGTAAGGTCTGAAGTGTCCTTTGCTATGACCAAGTGCCTAAGGTTTCATCCAATGTTTTGGGATTCATCTGCTTTCTTCATGACGTACAAGGCACATGCTGAATTCTTATTGGCTGATAATGGAGGACAGAAAACCGTGTACATAATTTTATATAACTTTCTTTATCCACGTACGGTCGATGAACAGAAAACAAAACATGTCCATGACGATATTTAGACATTATTTATGAATGCATTGGTTGATATTTTATGATTTTCAGTGTACACTGTGATAAGGATAAAAAGTTTGACAAGCAACTAAAGGGACTGTTAATAATTTATCAGTGAGACAGCATTGATTTTCTCCTAAATTTTTCTTTCAAAATTTGGGGAGTTGCTTGATGCCAAAAAAAATCTTTTTTAGTCAATTTATTTTAATCAACTTCCCATAAAAAGTGAACGATCCTGCAGGATTATTCAAAGTGATCATTTTAGTTCAACACTTGTTTTAACTTATTAAGTAGATAATTAGTCCATGTCTTGATTGGACATAAATGCTCAGAAATATAGTTAACATGTGTTAAATCCTAAAGGATTGATACTGTACAATTGTCCAATTATCATGTATACATTCCATTATAATTCTGTACCTCAGCTGTTTTGGCAGCCCATGACGAGATATCAAGGCTAAGGGGTATTAGGTCTTTTTCTTTAGAATTCTTGAAATTTGTACTAGTTAAACTTGGAAGTTCTGTTACAAGGATAGGGCAATACTATACTAAGCATACTTAGGCTTTGGAAAAATCCATTCATCTGAACACCGATAGACATCTACATAAGGGGGTTAGGGGAAGAAAATGTGATTTATTGACTAGACAAGATCAAGCTATTTTGTGCACATTCCTTCTCAAAACTGAACAAAACTTTTAAAGAGAAAATGATTGGCATAGTTTTACATCAAAGAAAGAAAAGAAAAGTTTGTAACCAGTAAAGGCTGGAGTATTTGGTATGATAATTGTCGATGGTCTAAAATCTCAAAATACTATGTATCTAAAATCAACAATCTCAAGGGTATAAAGAGTGAAGGCGTTTAACCTGTGAAATAAAAAAAATACTGGTCAACGTGTAATAGTCAAATAGACACAAAAGAAAACAATAGCATTAGGTTATACTAATGTGTATTAGTGTAATATCTATTTCACAGGTTTAATGACTTGACTGTAATTATGGAATCACTAGTGCAGTTTTCGTATGACTGTGAAAAGCTCAGTGCTGTAAGTGTGAGGTGCCGTGACACTTTCTAGAATTTTAATTGGCTGATTTTTTTCACGTGCAATATGATTGGTCTAAAGGTGCCGTGATCTTGGCGTGACCCTGTCTGCACCGTGTTTATGCCGTGTTYCGGGTATTTGATTGGATGGAGAGTAAATTCTCCTGCAATTTGATTTGTCTGTCGTATCCCTTGCTGTGTCAYGACTGTGTTCGTGCTGTGAACTTTTCAGTCATACAAAAACCGCACTATTATTAGACATCAGTACTGCATTATATATGAAAAATTACGTCAAGATTATTATTGATTGATAATGAATAATTATATTTACTTTAAATTAGATATGGTCTGTGATGATTCAAATTATTGGACACATTTATTTATTATCTGATATAAATATCGTTTAAGTTAGTATATATAGAGTAATGAATAGATGTGTTGATGTTATTATCATTATATTTTATACTTTGCAAATGATCAAAAGGATATCAATAATTCATTTTCTGGATTAGAAATATAAATCATTGTACATAAGTATTAAAATCATTTTAGAAATTATTATTTGTTCTATATTTTTCTTTATTAGTTGACTATTTCTGTAAACGTCCACAACATTTCTTTACTGGTCATGTATATTATTCTAAGTGGTATGGTCATTACACATTATTCACATAGTGAAATTCTTTTGGCTATACGCGCTAGATCCATATCCATTAATTCACCTCTACTGAATGTGCCCGATTTGTGTTTAAGGCTCCAGCATTGTTTCAAATTAAAAAATCGTTTTCAAAAAATATTATTTTCTGAATCTCTATTATATGACCTTTAAAACRATATATAGTTTCATGGGGTTTTGTTTAACGTGTTGCAAAGAGAGAGTCTTAAATGAAACATACCCCTGAAGGTCTCCAGTAACCTTAATGACAAGGAACTATCATTAGTTATAAAATAAATATTACAGTCAACATACTCGAGCTTACCCCCTAGATTGTAAACTCRGAAACTAAACTGGGGCGTAAACTTGAGCCATTTTAACTGTAATGTGAGGACATGATCGTGAATACTAAACATAAATAAATAACCAAATGTGAACATCATGATATGGTTTTACCAAATGTGCAAATCATATTATAATTATTTTTCTGTTGCCTTTGGCAAAAGTTCTTTAAAAAATTAAGAAGTCGCTTTGGAAAACTGGAAGCTAAGAAGCAAAAAAGGCAATCAAGGTCTTTGCTTTCAGGTTTCCAGGCYGGTCTACGAACATTAATTAGTTGCATGATACATTTTAATAGGTATTAAGGCTTAAAATAGTGGCCAGTCAAATGATGACCACATAACAAGAACGTCTCTGCTAAAGGTCTCTGACTAGTATTTGATTTTCTGCTTCAATCAGCTGTCCACTTTGAACACAACTCCAATCTGCTGACGTATTTCATCCATCCATCCCATGATTCTCCTTGTGTTGCTGTGTGGCATGATGTCACTTTCTGTTGCACCCATCAGAAGTTTGTTTCTCACCTCCTGAATTTCATATCTGTTAAAAAACAATTACCATTTATTCGGAGGATTAGTATATGTAATAGGACTCCATATTGGACGAGGAAAATTTGGAGGACTTCCAAAATTGGATGAGGCCATTGGCCGAGTCCAATTTGGCAGTCGGAGGAATTTTTTGAGTCTAATTATTTCTTAATTGGGGAGCATGAAATCCCATTACCTATTAATCATATAGCTGCCTAATTACTGTAATCCCATATSAACAAGACCTGTCCAATTAAGAAAATAATTGGACAGTTACCTATATGGAATTAGCTGTATAAATTATTAATGTATTAATAAGAAGTGCACTGTGTTGCTTTGATTGGTCAACAACGGATAACATACTGCATCATCTTGGAAGAATGCAAAATGCTTATTGGGTTATACCTGTTTATTAGCCGGTCACATAAATAAATTAGAGCAGAGTTCGTGTCAACTTAATAATGTTACCTCATTCCAGTTGAATTCGCGAAATTCATTGTCATTGAAGGTTCTGGCAAAGGAAATTCTTTCTCTGTTCCATCTGGATATATTATCTTTGTGCTACACCAGAAAGGTGTGCAGATCTTAAACGATCCCTTGRTTCCAATAACAGTACAATCATTTGGTAGTTGAGCATCTGGTCAATGCAGAATGAAAATTGTTTAGAAGTGTATTTTTAATAATTAGTGTGCTGTGTGTTAAATGAAAACTAGGTCCATATAAAGTTCAATCCTCTGTTAATAGACTGCTGTAGCTTGTTGGGCATAAAGCTTTTGCATTTCTTTTAGGAAGCATTCTTTGTTTAAGAAGGGGCCTTGGATTGGAGGAATCCCTATAAACAGTGATGTAAAATCTTTAGACCCCCCCCCTACTTCTGTCTGCATAAAAACGTGACCTTGCCTAAAATCTCGTTCCTCCCCTTTATGTAGTACAAAATATTTGATGACCTCCGTTTTTGACTGAGTAGAAATTTAATGGCCCTCCCCTAGATTCCTCCTACCCACCCCCCCTCTTCTTTCCTAAAAATTGAATGCTCCCTTAGACCATGTGTCATTCCCTAGAGTATCATTTCTTAGATTAACAGTTGGGCATGAGAAGACACACAGATGTGGATACAGCTCAAACAAAGAATGTATTATTATCAAGAGAATGGCACGTAGTCTGAAATAGAAAAACATATCTATTTACAGACTTGTTTTAAGGACCAAGTTTGGCTAGGTTGGTTAGTATGCTGCCTGCTAAGCAAGAGGTCCATACTTTGATCCTCAGTGATTTCACACACTTGTTTTAATGAGCAAGTGCGGTTTGGTTGGTTAATATGCTTCCTGCTATGCAAGAAGTCTATAGTTTGATCCTCATTGACCTCACACACTTGTTTGAAGGAGCAAGTGCAGCTTGGTGCCTGCTAAGCAAGAGATCCAGCTCTGAATGCTGTGCACTAACCAATACGTAACCGAGCTGATTTCTATTTATTTGATAGTTTTTCTTTGATTATGCAAGCTACAGTATGTTTTTCACCTTGTACTGTATATTAGCATCAAAATTTCATTAATTCACGTGGGATTCCTGTGGATTTGGTGGAACACTCTAAACATGAAGAGTATGCATGYTACTAGTGGGAAAATGGTACATAATTGCCTCCATGTACTTTACCTATGGATGTGAAAACTTGAGCCATCTTGTTGCCACTAAACATCAAATTAATACAGAGCGTATCATCCACACCACTGTCTGTTTTGAATCCATTGGCAGTTATCTTAATTGGATCTTGACCATCAAAGAAAATGTCTACTATGTTAAGGCAGTAGATACCAAGGTCCAATAATCCTCCACCTCCAAGGTCAAGATTCTTAATGCGATCAACCGATTTCATACTATATCCAAAGGATGCTATAACCAACTTTATGTCACCTATTGCTTTGGAATCGAGTAGTTCTTTAGCTTCTTTGTGTAATGGGAAAAACCTGGTCCACAAAGCCTATGATCATATGGATAGTATTATAGAACTATGAATGGTGCATCAAATAAAGAATTATAAAATGATTGTTATAAATCTTGCATTCTTATTGGTTGGGAGCATGTGCTTTATGAGAGCACACAGCATGCGTGCGCACTTTCGGTTGCATCATTCCTATCCAAAATGACGGTTGTTGAAATTTCTATTTTATAAAAGAAATAAAAAACTTGCTTGCTCTTCTGGGTGTGCAGTTATAAAGCACTTGAGGATTGGCAGAACACTTGAAAAGTGTTGAGAAGCCCCCTGCTATGCATCGTGCTTCTCCTAACAAGTCTCTCTTGGTCTGCAAATCCCCACATGCTTTATAACTGCACACAGCATGTGCACGCATTTTCTATTTCTTCATTACAATATATAGTAGTATATATATAAATGGGTAGGAAAAAGAGGGGTTGCAATGGTGTCTGAGAGAACATAGAGGAGAAGAAGAGAAGAGAGGCAAATCATGGAACGAAAAGAAAGAAAGAATGAAAAAAAAAGTAATTTAGAATGGGAAATGAATGCAAAATAAGATGGGAGATAAGAAAGCAGAAGAGCGGCCGTTTACTATTTATCAGGGAGAGGGGTTGGGCGAGGAAATAGCCTACCTCCATGAAAAATAGCTTTTTCTCTTTAGCGACTTTCATAACTTCTTCAGCTTCTTTTACATTAAGAGTCAAAGGTTTTTCACAAAGAACGTGTTTTCCGTGCTGCAGTGCCAGAAGACATAGGTCTTTATGTGATATATTTATGGTAGACACGTAGACAACATGGACGTCTGGGTCCTTCACCAGCTCTTCGTACGAACCATACGCTTTCTCGACGCCATGCTTCGAGGCAAACTCTTGAGCTTTCTCTAAACTGCGGGCTGCGACAGCAACTAGACGGTGGTCTTCGGCTGGAAGAGTTTTTAAAGCCACAGAAAAGTCGTTGCCAATTTTACTAGCCCCTAAAAATCCCCAACATGTTGGATGTCTCGACATTTTGGAGATCGGCCTGCAGGGATCATTTGCCTACCACAGGGTGTCCATGCATACTTTTAGTATCGTCACGCAACGCTTACTCCCCTAAAGTACAGTAGCTCGACCAGTAGCTCGCTGTCGCCCGATATGGGAGTGAGCGTTGCGTGACGACACTAGGTAATATGGCCTGTTGCAAAAAAACGAGGGCTCTGCTGTGGCACATCTCGAACCCAGATCCTGCGTTCCTCTGGCCTGCAGTAAAGAACGAGGGCTCTGGCATAATCCCATTTTTTTGAGAAACAGCAAAAAAGAAAATGAATACAAATCCAAAAAGAATAATTATATCAGATTTATTTTTATTTATTAAAACTAATTACAATAAAAAGAGTCGATAAAAGTTTTTAAAAAATCATTTAATTATCAATAAATTTATTTATTCCATATAAAATTTAATTCATTTTAATTCATATTTTATATTCATTCCTTCATTCAATCAATCATTCACTTCATCTCAGTCAATCAAAGAAATAAAAACTGAGTTTGAACTAAATAACGTAAAGGTTTTAGAGAATTTCATGATTAAGATCTTTAATCTAGTCTGATATCTCCCTCAAGTTTTTAAAAATTATTAAGGTTGAGTTCATAA